CTTGAAAAAAGAAGAGTTTGGGGAGATCTGATTGAGGTGTTTAAGATTGTTAAAAGAATTGATAGTATTGATGCATCATTTCTTTTATACTTAACAATGAGAATAGTAGGACTAAGGGCCACAAATATAGATTTTGGCAAGGTAGGAGTCATCTTCAGCTAAGACTGTTATATTTTTCAAACAAGGTGGTTGGCCTTTGGAATGGGTTGCCTTTAGATATTGTAGAGACAGTAAATTTAAGCGAGTTTAAGAAAAAGCTTGATAAGTATATGAATGTAAGGGACTGGCTTTAAGATTTTTTTTATTTATTTTATTTTTTAAATCATTTTAATTTAGTTTAGATAATGGAACAGCCAAGATGGATCAATAGGTCACATGTTGTTCTAAAATGTTATGTATTTTTAAAAGTATTAATTTCTAAAAATGTCCATGCCCTTCAAGTTCAATATAAGTTAAACATAAACGATGGACATAGCAAGGATAAAGCATTAAATAAAATGTATAGCCTAAAATTGAACTGGTACTACTAGAATTTGATCAGTTTTAAATATCATACCTTCAAAAAAACCTCAACTTTTTAAATCTGCAAGTCACACTCTCTCTTTTTTTGTTCTTGCTAAAGAAATTTATTGGCGAAAATGTTTAAACTTTAGATTTCACTGAACAGTAAAATTGAAATACTTTATAATAAATTAATTATTATACATTATGTAACACAGCAAGATGCAACTTTTTCTAACATGTAAGAACACAGCAGTAATTTGATGTTCACCACTACTAGTATTTCCCAGATTTGTGCATTAATAAATGACTGGTGAAATGATAATTTATTCCAGATAATATTTTACTTGTGATGTTGATGTTCAGATAGGTTAGTAATAGTAAAATAGTCTAGTATCACTACCAGATAAGATTATAGGGAAGATAGCTTGAGTGATTGGAAAGAAAATTGGCATATATTTTGATCATCTTCCACAGTTTACACAGGAGAAAAATCCCTAACTTGAATTAATTTTCACAAAAATATGCACCACTACTCGAGATGGGCTTGTCTCTCCAGAGTGGGAGCTCAGACACTGGACCAAACTAATATAAATTTATATCCATTTGCATATGAAAGCTTTACCCAGATAAAAGAATTTGTACATAATTACTGCCTTTCATTATTCTGTTAACAGTAATATTGTCACACAGCATGCAGAACATTTGCATGGAAATTTAGAAAGATTTTCCTGAATATATACAGATACAGTGCTTTGCAAAAGTATTCACCCCACCCATAATGTTTCCACATTTTGTGTCGTCTGAGCTTGCAATCATGAACCTTTCAAACGAGACTTTATACTTAGAATCTACACAATCTACTCCAAACTGAAAAAGCTAAACAAATGCTGATATTGTGTAAGTAAGTTAGATTTTCAAAAAAAATTAGGATATTCCCAATTGCATAAGTATTCAACCCCTTTACTGTGATAACCTTACAACCCTAAATCAATTCAAGTGCAAACGATTAGTTTGAAAGGTCACAAAATTAGTGTAATGGTCTCTGTCCATATATAATCAAAGTTGTTTAACTTGACTTCAGGGTAAATGCATCTGTTCAAGCCACAATTCACATAATGATAAGACAAACCAACCATGAAGACCAAGGAGCTTTCCAAACAAGTTGGGGATAAAGAGGTATAGAAGCACAGATTCAAAAGAAAATTACAATAAAATTTCAAAGTCCCTGATTATCCCTTTGAGTATGGCTTAGTTCATCATTAAGAAGTGGAATGTGGTTCATACCACCCAGTCACTACCCAGATCAGGCCGCCCTTCCAGACTAAGCAGACAGGCAAGCAGGAAACTGGTTAGGGATGCCACTGTGAAACCAACAGTGACTTTGAAAGATTTGCAAAGTTCCATGTCTGAGATGTGAGTCAGTGTTCATACATTGACAATATCCATGTTCTTATACAAATATGGCTTGTATGGGCTTGTGGCAAGAAAGAAGCCATTACTGAAAAAGAATCATCTTAAACCTCATATGGAGTTTGCGACAAAGCATGTAAATGATACTGCAGACATGTGGCAGAAGGTTTTGTGGTCGGATGAGACAAAAATTGAGCTTTTTGGTCTAAATTCAAAACATTACTTCTGGTGCAAGCCTA